ATCCAATGCACGCGGGATGTTACATCGAATTACCGCGGGAAATTATGTTAAAGCGGTGATCAAATGTACGATCCAATGCGTGTTTCGCGTGGTCGGTGGTCGCGGCTCTGCATCCGGCTGAAAGGAATACAAATCGGGAATTGTCGTACCGCATTATACGGTGTTAAATTTGCAAGACATTACGTTTCCGATGACGTTGAACCAAATTAAGAAGTTCGAACATCTCAATCAACGTCTACGATATCAAGGAAAAGGAAATTCTCCCGATACGGCTGACATCAAGGAAGATGGAGAAGCACGCAAATCTATTGCACATGCAGGATCCGCGCGACGACAACGCGGGGCACTTTGCGTACATCAAAGATCTGTCCCGTCTTGTGAGCTTGCAACTGAATAAATACGGACATAAGAAATACTTTTGCGACCGGTATGTATTTTAACAAATTTTATTATTTCTCTTATAAAATTGTTTATTAAATACTAAAAATCATATTTTCCGTTTGTAGATGTCTACATTACTTCAGTTCGTCTGAAAGATTGCAGTCACATACAACGGATTGCGAAAAGATGAACGATTGCGCCATCCGACTGTCGAGCGAGGACGACAAGTGGCTCGAATTCAAGAACTACACGAATAAGGAACGACTTCCATTCATCGTTTACTTGGAGTGCGTATTATGGCGAACGGAACCGGCAGAGAGGGAAGACGCATCGTACACCTACCAGCAGTACGAAGTATTTAGCATCGGATACTACGTGCGATGCTCGTACGACGACGCGTTATCGGTATATCGATTTCGTCGCGGTGAAGACTACGTTGCGTGGTTCGTTCGGGAACTCAAAGATTTGGCACATCAAGTAAAAATTCTGTTATCCGCGAATGTCCCCATGGAAACGTTGTCGAGAGAGCAGTGGGAGGCATATCGTAGCGCGACGCGTTGTCACATTTGCGAGAAATCATGCGAGAAATTTGCATCGGACGACACGCGGGTACGCGATCATTGCCATTTTACCGGTCGTTATCGTGGTCCCGCGCACTCAAATTGTAATCTAAATTATAAAGATTCATATTGCATTCCCATAGTATTTCACAACTTATCTGGTTATGACGCGCACTTTATCATCACGGAAATAGCTACGGCGTTCGAAGGCAGAATCGACATGCTGCCGATAACAAAAGAAAAATATATTTCGTTTACAAAACATGTTCAAGATACTACCGAGAGATCAGATTCACGAAATTGCGTACGCTTGCGGTTCATAGATTCGTACAAATTTTTAAATATCAGTCTTGATAAATTAGCATCTTTTCTAACGAAAGAAAAATTAAAAATTTTACGTTCCGAATTTTCCACGGTCTCAAACGAAGATTTTGACTTGTTGACTCGCAAAGGTGTCTTTCCGTACGAATACGTGGATCACGCGAACAAGCTGCAGGACATGCACCTATCACCGCGCGAATCGTTCTATAGCTCGTTGACCGGTGACACGGTGTCGGAGAACGATTACGCGCACGCCGCGAACGTCTGGCAACGGTTCTCCATCCGAACGTTCGGCGAATACAGCGATCTATATTTCAAGACCGATGTCTTGTTATTGGCCGACGTTTTCGAAAATTTCCGCGAAAGTTGCGTCGCGAGTTATGGACTCAATCCCGCGCATTACTACACATTGCCAGGTTTCACGTGGGACGCCATGTTGAAACATACGCGCGTAAAATTTGAGTTGCTCACCGACATCGATATGGTTATGTTTATCGAATGTGGTATACGCGGCGGTCTCAGTCAATGTTCCGGCAGATACGCGCAGGCCAATAACAAGTACATGCGTTCGTACGATCCGTCGAAACCGTCATTATACCTTATGTACTTTGACGTAAATAATCTGTACGGATGGGCGATGTGTCAACCGTTGCCCTATGCCGAATTTCGATGGATGAAAGACATTGAGAACGTGCGTTCTCGCGACGCGAGCGTGATCGCTCCGGATTCGTCTACGGGTTATATTCTCGAGGTCGATCTCGAGTATCCGCATCATTTGCATGATCGACACACTGACCTACCTTTCTGTCCGACGCGCGATAAACCACCCGGCATGCGGCAGGATAAACTTCTCGCGACGTTATACGATAAGAAGTGGTACGTCATCCATTATCGCAACCTGCAGCAATGTACGCGCCATGATCTTCGTATCGCAAAGATATATCGCGTACTAGAATTTGCTCAATCCGCCTGGCTCCGCGATTACATCGAACTCAATACACACTTTAGAACGTACGCGAAAAACGATTTTGAGAAAAATTTGTACAAATTAATGAACAACGCGGTATTCGGTAAAATAATGGAAAATGTGCGCAATCATGTCGAAGTTAAACTTTTGACCAAATGGGACGGACGGTATGGCGCGGAGGCAATGATCGCGAAACCAAGTTTCCACAGCCGCAGCGTCTTTGCGGAAAACTTAATCGCCGTCGAATTGCGTAAACTCGAGATAAAATTCAACAAGCCGATTTACGTGGGTATGTGTATACTCGACATATCGAAAATCTGCTTGTACGAATTTCACCACGAATACATGTCACGGCTGTATCGCGAGAAATGTAAGATCATGTACACCGACACGGACAGTCTCGTATACCACATCGAGTGCGATGAGTGTACGAGGCGATGAGTGTACGAGGCGATGAAACGCGATATCGCTAAATTCGATACGAGCGATTATCCGACGGATAACGCGTACGGGATGCCTCTCACGAATAAAAAAGTACCCGGTCTAATGAAGGATGAGAATAACGGTGCGATAATGACGGAATTCGTCGGACTCAGAGCGAAGATGTACGCGGTGAGGGTGGATGGCAGAAAAGACATTAAAAAGGCGAAAGGTGTAAAGAATAACGTCGTAACGCGAACAATAACGTTCGACGATTATACGCGGTGCTTGAACGAAGAGATCGAAATGACTCGTTGTCAGTCGTGTATAAGATCCAAGCTACACCAAGTATACACGGTGTCCGAGTGTCGAAAATCGCTCTGAGTCCGTACGACGACAAACGATACATCGTACCGAATTCGACGGAGACGTTACCGTGGGGACATTGGCGGATTCCATTGTAATATATATATATATATATATATATATATATATATATATATATATATTATATAATATATATATTATTTATTTATTT